TTTTTTTTTTCTGTTTCGTTTTTTGCTGGGAGACGTCGATTTATCAATTGATAGAAGCTTTTATCTACATATATGTAGCCTTTGTTTAGGATCTCTAAAAATTTTTCGCCACTGTTAAGTGTTGTATGCGTAGGCTTGTGTTTTTTTTGTTTTCAATATTTGCGCTACTCTGTTTTTCCTTTAGTTTTGATTTGGTGAAGTGCCGGTGTCCTGATTATTTTCAGATTGTGAAGCGATGCATGGTTTCATTTTCAAACTTACAGGCGCTATCGTGTTTTCGCGATAGGAGATTAGTCGGTTTCTAGATTTTGGAATGCTGATTTTGTTGTTTTTTGAGTTGAAGAACAGCTGTTTGTGGCGTTTAATACTACGGTTGGAGTAATCTAAATGACAGTGCTGCCTGTGATTTAATGTTGTTGAAGCATGGTAATTTTGATGATATGGTCAAGTTGAAAGTGTATTATTTATTCTCGATTAGGATGGTTAGTTTGTCTGTCAATATCGTAGGTAGGGGCAGTGAGAGAAGATGTAAGGATGCTGTTGATGTTTTTCTCATGCCAAAGTACAATAGAAACAATTTTCTTAATCAAAAGATAGTATAAACAGTGAAGACCACTGACAGAGCAAAATAGCGTGATAGGTGAAGCTACTACTATGGACAATGTCTCAAATCAGATGAACCTTATTATCTCAAACTTAATCGAATTAATTTTCACTTGAAGGTTAAATGAAGTATCATATGAAACCTATATGCTAATTGCTAATTATGTTTGGTAAATTTTCAGTTAGTGTTAAGTGGCAAAAGGAGTTGTTTACCAATGTGGAAATAGACACTTCCCAACCCCCATATGATTTCAAGTGCCAGCTCTTTCTGTTAACTGGAGTTCAACCTGAAAGACAGAAAATTATAATCAAAGGTGGTTTACTAAAGGTACATGATTCCCTGTTTATAAGATACGATAATGTTTTGACGTGTGCATGATTGTTTTTCTATCATCTAATATATAAAGCATCTGTTATATTTCATTTCTGTGGCAATGTTGACAAATTCTGTAGTCATAACTTATCTATATTATGTATGATGCATTTTTTTATGACCACATAGGCTGATGCAGATTGGTCAAAAGTAGGAGTGAAGGAGGTAATACAATGTTTTCATCATACGAGACAAGTTATATTGCAGATTACGTGGAACTTGTGTTTAGTGTAATAGTATTCTGTGTCGCTCTTTCTTTGGTTCAGGGCCAGAAATTAATGATGGTGGGAACGGCAGATAAAACTGGGAAGGGACTCATTTTTCCTAGACACATTCCAGAAGAGGAACAAGTGGTTTCTCCGGTGAGTTGTAGGTTATGTGAGTTCGTGGAACATTACGTGGCATAGCAAGTTCTTATAAGAATTATACACGAGTTAGAATCTCTGATTGCGCTAAACTTAGTGTTATTAAATTGCGGGTATGACATGGCGGATTTCTGCCAAACCACCATGCTAAATTTGTGAAGGATGGCGGTTACGGTAGCGCCATAGGCTTCTTGGGCAAGATTTTGGCCTGCCGTCATTTACTGCCATCCTCCACTAATAACACTGGATTCCATGAGTTTACTTCTGGACAGTATTGGAAGAAAGTTTCTGTGGCGTCTTTTAGCTGTAATTGTATACTTAACTGGAGTACCAACATTTCATTTTCCCAAAGTATTAGAAGCAGTTTGTGAATTACATGATTTTTCTTCTGCAAACTTTTTTATTTGTCTGCATTCCTTGAGAATTTTTAGGTCAAAGATTGAATTTTCTTTAGTTTGTGGACCAAATTATCCTTCCTACAGGTTACAGCATATCAATGGTAAATATGTTCAGAATGTTCATGTTTCTCAATAAACGATTACTTTGATGGAAAAATTAACTAATCCATTTGTATTGCACATTCTGATTTTTTTCCCTTTTCCTTTTTATCTATTGCTTTCTCGTTTTCCAGTTTGGTAAATTATTGACCTGCGCCCTGCTTTGCATAAACAATAGATTGATTGGTCTTGATACGTTGCTAACTGTCACAGGGTCATTCTGCTGGTTTAATAAATTTTGGGAACATCTGTTATATGAACTCCACAGTACAATGTTTGCATTCAGTCCCAGAACTGAAATCTGCTTTGTTGCAGTGAGTTTTACCTTTCAATGGAAATACTTTACCTGAAGAGTTTATTTGCATTAATAAGATTTCTTGTTTTGTTGTTGTTATAGGTATCCTCCTCCAGTTAGAAGCACTTATGTGGATCAATCTTCACATGTACTGACTTTAGCAATGCGAAAATTATTTAAGGAACTTGATAAAAGTGTCAAGCCTGTATATCCATGCCAATTTTTAGCAGTATGCACTTTTTGCTTCAGTTTTTCCAAATAAGATTTACTGCTTTAATCTTGGTCAGCGCCTTTTGCAAATATAAAAGGAATTGGAGGGGCTAATGAACATCATGTGGTTCCATCCAATGTTTTCTCCTATGTTAGAATAAATGGCATATCATAAATTTAAATACAAAATAAATATAAGCTGTTAACTGTGCCTGGGGTCTAAGGGAAAGATGTTTTTTTAACAGATTTAAGACTGTCTGATCATCCGTAAAGTGTCATGGTGCTCTATCCAATAAAGTTGTGCGGCTTTTTTTATTTGTTTATTTGGTTCATCATGCTCAGTGGATACTAATTCTAACATGGGAAGTTTTCAAGTGCAGCATGTTATATGGTTACTTTTGTGCTGGGGTGTTTTTTTTGTTTTTATTTTCTTGGTGATAGGGTGTTTGGACCTTTAGGATTCTGTTGCTGTCTGTATGGTATCCAACAAAAATGAGAAATATTATTCCCCAGTGCCTGTTTTACTGCTTTGTAGTTTGAGTGACTTTTGCGTACTTAAACTGTATATAGGGAAGGGAAAAGTGGGTTGACGCACTTAAACTGTATGCAGGGAAGGGAAAAGAGAATTGACGAATGTTAGATATGGAACTTCTGGTGTGAATTCTAATTAGACTTAGCTGAAAACTTAATTACTAATATCGCATAGTTACTTTTACCCTTTTCATGCTATAAGAATCAGCAATGCTTTACTTGGAACGCTTGACATTCTTATCTGGAAAGAAAGAAAACTGGTTGTAGCAAATGAATTTTAAGTGCTGCATTGACCTATCAAATGTTTTTCGAGCACCTTACCGTTTGGTTATTCAATATCGTTTTTCAGAAATTCCACTCACAAAGTATCTTTACTGATTCATATGTTTCCATTTTTAGGCATTACGGAGCAAGTGCCCTCATTTTGCCCACATTCACAATGGGATTTACGTTTTCACGCAGCAGGTATGTAGATTGCAACTGAGCTCATATTTTAAGTTTTTCCCCATGAGTTTTCTAATACTGAAATATTTTTGCTGCTAGGATGCTGAAGAGTGCTGGACGCAACTTCTATTCATCCTTTCAAGGTCCCTGAAATATCGCAGGTGGCACAGTTATTCTCATAGCTGAACCAATCTTGCTCTTATTCTTGTCATAATTTCTCCTGCCTCACTCAGATACTCGTTTCTTACTTTCGCCATTTTATTGGATAGCTGCAATTAAGTTTCCATTGCCATATTATAACCAGAATATGCTTTCCAAATGGCTCATTTTGCAGGAAAGCAGATGATCCAGTGAAGAGGCTTTTCGGTATCGACATAGTTAGCAGGTTTACTAAGTTTCTTATTATTCTCCATTTTACTATTTTGGCTATTAATATTATATATTATATTGATGCTATATGTAAGTTGTTGATTGATCTTGACATGCTAATTTTTGTCTTGGTTGGGTAGTTATGTCTTTGTGTGTTTATCTAATTGGAGACCTCAGTTTTATCTTATTCTTTTTTGTATTTTCTTCCCATTACCGTGCTTTTTACTTGATCTTGACTGGAAGAATATAATGAATGTTACATGATTAGGATTGTCAGGAAATGAAACAATTCAAAATGATAACAGCAGAAATCATGTCAGCACCTTGAAAGGAGCTTGTATTTATGAGTTATGAATCAAATTATCAACATTTACTGTTCAGCACAGCAATTCATATGCTAAAGAGCAACCCTAGCATGGTTTGAAATTAGCCTATACAGAGCACAATACATTATTTGTCTGTCGCTGCTTCTTCTACTATTTAATGAATATGGTAGACTTCCTTATCTTTCACGTGCAAAATTTAGCAGATTTTAAGTTCTCAAATACTAGGTTGTGATTAAGTTGTCATATCATAGAGCACAATGAGGCCAAAACTGCTAATCCTCAGCAATTGAGGAAATATACAATAAGTATCAACATGGTGCAAATTTAAAACAGGCTAATGAAACTGACTACCAATTAAGGAATCGGTAGGATCATACACTCGTGGGCTTTAAGCTTCAACTATTTGTACAAAAAACATTGCACTAAAAATCGGCCTAGGATGCCGCCTCCGATTAGCATGAATCGGCTGAAAAAATCGGCCAGGCGGCGCCTACGCGGCTCGGCGGCAAATTTTTATTTTTTTTTTAGTTTTTGAAATACTAATTTCATAATTTTGTTAGCATGTTTTCTTTATAATACATTAATATTATTGTTTGGACTTAGGTGTGTGGATTTATTGTAAATTGAGATAGTTTTATTTTGTAGGTAGTGAAAATAAATAAAAAATGAAGTATTTAATCTTTTTTAGGCCCCGCCTTGGCTCTAGGTGCTAGGCACTGGTCAAGCGCCTAGCGACTTTTAGAACAATGACAAAAGATCCAGTTGTTGGATTTTCGAAGCTCCTTGCATATATCGCGTCCCCAACCAATTATAGTTATATATGGAGTATCTGGTGCATATATCCACAACCACAAACATCTTCAATGCAACTTGTCTTTGTTAACTGTTGTGGCTAGGGTCCATTGTGCTGAAAGTGGTGAAGAAAGTACAGAAACGGAATCCGTATATTCACTTAAATGCCATATTTCACAAGAGGTGAATCATCTACATGAAGGTTTAAAAAGTGTAAGTTTCACGTACTGATCATCCACGTTACATTGTGCTATAGTATTTTGTATTCCCTTAAATGTCACTTTACCTTGATGTCCAAGTTAACATGGAATTAGCTTGCTGTGCACTGCAAATTCCTTTCTTGAGTCACCACATTCTACCTTGTGGTAAAATACTCCTCATCACTCGTATAAAATACATTATCCTAGAAACATTTTTACTAACTACGGTATAGTGATAAACAAATGACATGGATATCAAATGTGAATGGATATTTGAGTAATTACAGATGGTTGATAGTACAATATTCATGAATATATATTCTCATCGGAGATATAATGCCTGCTACTATAACTGTTAATTGAGCAGCTAACATTTAGCTGAAATTACTTTGACCGTATGTGAGCTTGAGAGGATCACTGGTATCTCTAGTAATTGACAGTGCACTAGTGCAGAATTTGTATCTAAATGAAGCTTCTCGATATAAATTTGACACAACTTTTGTTATATGAAATATGGAAATTTCAGATGTTAGTGTCGTGGTTGTTCTTAATTGTTAATTCATTGATAACTGGTCTTTATCTTGTAGATAATCAGTTTGGAAATGTGGAGTAGCCCACAGGCAAAAGCCTTTTCTTTTGTAGCTTGTTCAAGTCCATTTCCCTATTCTTCCCCCTCACATGTTAAATCACATATAGGAATCTATGAGTAAATTCATCTGGCTGTTTTACATCTCAAGGGTTTAAAATCAGAACTGGAGAAGCCTTCTCCTGCCCTTGGATGCAGTGCTATTTACTCAAAAGATTCTCGCATAAATGGCTTGCCTAGGTATTATGACATACTAAAACTGCTTTTTCTTTCTGGTCCATTTTACTTGCGCGTGCTGCTGTGCATGCTCTCATATCTTTCTTGGCGAGACTTCAAAGAAATCCTATTATCGTTCCTCTGTTTAGATTTTGCATCAGAAATGGACTAATCTTGCACTCTGGATTACAGGTACTTGACCATTCAATTTGTGCGCTTTTTCTGGAAACGAGAAACAAATCAGAAGGCTAAAATTCTGCGGGTACATGCTTATTTTTCTCTTTCAAGGAAAAACAAGTGAGTAATTTCCACAATGGTTTATAATGGTTGTAAGAAGAAAATTCCAAAGAATAAGACGTGCTATGTAATTTGGTATATAACTTCTCCTTTTTCCTGTATTAATAGGGTCTCATCCTTGACAAACATTCCCTTAATTCAACAAAGGAAACATGAGTTTCTTGACTAGATTTTTTTCTGTTTACTTTTCACATTAATGTCAATGTTTATACAACATAGCTGGAATCAATATTATTTACACTGGATATTAGTTGATTTCTGCTTTCAGAAGTAAAATGAAGAATCATTAACACTTCCCCTTTTTTTATTTTTTCCCATGGAAGCACTGAAAGCAACCAATATTCTTTTCTTTGGAATGAAACAAATCCTATTCATATTCAAGCTTTTTCATCCTTTTCCAATTCAAATTCCAGTATTAATGGATTGGTGCAAAAACAGTAATATTACCGGGAATGCATAAGTAATATGCTGAACACATTCGATTGATTGCGAATTATTTGAATTGTAAATGATCCCAGAAGGTCTGAGCTATGAGTGCAATACTTAGTTCATTAACAAGATGCCATTTGATTTCTTATGGCTCATATGAACTAATCATCTGCAGATTATGTGTTTCAACTTGTTTTGCAGAAAGTGGACTATCCTTTAGAGTTAGATGTGTATGATTTTTGTTCAGATGAACTTCGCCGGAGACTGGAAGTCCCTCGACGAGTATGAATTTTTCTGCATCGTCTTCGATTAATTTCAACCTACAAGATGTTTTTTTCATACATGACTTGTATCTATATTTTCCCCTGTTGGGTTAATTTCATTTTAAATACCTACTTGTAGATCCTGAGAGATGAAGAAGGAAAGAAGCTTGGCCTGAAACCTAAAAGGAAACGCTCAACTTCGACAGACAATGATGTCAAGATGACTGATGCTGAGGTGGGCCCTTTGTCTGATCATAGTGATTATAAACATTCTGTAGTATAGAAGATACAAGCTATTTTCATTGTTCAGTTTCGCTTGACTGGAATCTACATTGAGCTTGTATTACTTCGTTTCATGCAGGGGCTTGCAATTGGCAGTGAAGATAACTCGAAATCTGTACCTGGAGAAGGTATTCTTTCTTCAAGATATTAAGGCGTGCTTGTATACAAGTATATCCGCTCAAAATGAGTTTTAATTTTGAAAAAGTTAGGTATGGTTAGTTGTTAGTGGGACTTTAAGGTTATATTAGAATAATATTTAAAATAAAATAATTAAAATTGATTTGATGTAAAAGTAGGAGAGAGATGATGTGAAGTAATGGTTAGTTAAAATTATGTGAGTGGATTAATAGTGAATTAAAATTGATGTGATGTATAAGAATGATTGTTTGATATTATTTAAATTAATATTGTTGTAGGCAGTGGAGTTGGGTTAAAGTTGTGTTAGATTTTACGTATGAATTGGATAAATTTATAAGCAAACACACCCTAAGTTTTTCATGGATCACAAACCCAGTATAGGATCTTAAATTCTGTTAGCAAATTGAAATAGTAGGTAGTTTCATGCTTCTGCAGGAATAGTGCTTGTACCGTTCCTTCTTATATTGACTGGTATTCTTCTATGTGTGGTAGCAAAGAATTTCATGCCCTTTATTGGTTTTTTTTTTT